CAACGCCAGGCCCGCTCTCTGTGCCTCCCCCACCCCTGAGCTCGGCTGGGAGGCACCAAACACACCAGCTCACCTTCAGGACCTGGTTCTGTCCCATCTCCTCCAAGGGCCCAACCCTCCCTCCTCTGAGCGCTTCCTGACCCCCTGGCTGTTCCACAGACTGAGCACACTTTTCTTTTTTTTTTTTCTCCTGGTACTACACCTCTACCTGCTGTTTCCTGGGCAGTTCATGTGAGATTTCAATCTGCCCACATCCTCAGAAGGAGACGCTGTCCCATTTTACAGTGAGAAAGCATGAGGCCCAGAGGAGGCAAATGACTCACCCTGGGTCACACTGCTTACCCTCCTGTACCTGGCAGTCAAGACTGATGACATTCCCAGGGTAGGGAGGAACGTCAACCGTCTCCTGGCCCAAGACCTGTCGGTCTCTCTAGGCTAGAAGGTCGTCCTGGCCAATCTTGCCAGAATCCCCTTCTCCTAAGTCGCACAAGTATCTCTGCTCATACCCTCGGCCACGGGGAGTTCACTCCCCGCCCCCAGCCCAACTCCAAACTGAAAGCCCATCTTGGAACCTGGCTCCCTCCACCTCCACCCAGCATTTCAGCCCCTAAATTGGTTCAGAAAACGCCTTCTTGACACCCACCCACCACATGCCAGTTTAAAACCGCCTGAGGGTTTTTTCTCCACCTTGACTATAAAAAGACACCTTGAAAATAAAACATTAACATTTCCCTGTCAGTTTTCCTTTCAATTTAAAAGTGCAAACATTATGGTCATTCATAGGTTGAGGAGAAAGACTTGAGGAAGGGAGTCGGACTACCCTCACCTTCCTGGGTGGGCCTGTGCCTCAGTTTCCCCACCGACACCACACGCCAACTTCCCAACTCACTTTCACCTCGTACGTGAATTAAAGAAAGGGACCCAAGCCACACACAATGGTGGCTGATTTTCTCACTCACTTTCTCTCTCAAAATAGGCCAAAGGCCCCAAATACGCCAGAAACAATTAGGGACAAAGTGGAGGCCCTCTGAAGGCTGCGGGGGAAAGGTTTCCAGCGCCTTCACCGTCTTTAAGGTGGAGAGCAGGGGACAGAGCCTGCAGGGCGGGGAGATACCCAAGACCGCCCCGGCTGGGGCTGTGGAGCAAAAGCACAAGGCTGGTTTCCAGAGGCCTCGCTGAGCCGCCCTGCTTGGGGGTCAGATATCCCTGGAGAAGAGAAGGAAGGGCAGGGTCCTGTCCCCCATGTCCATCCCCACCAGCCATCTGGTGCTGAAGAAGTCTGGCCAGATGGGGCTGGAAGGAAAGGGGATTCCAGGCCCCAGTACTCACCCCCGCCCCCAACCACACTCACCCACTTTCCCAGTAGCACCCCGTTGCACCCCTACCCCAACTCCCAATGCTGGGCCAGACTGGGCGGCTCCCTTCTCCTCTATCCCGTCCGCCCCTACCTCTCGGGCTACACCCCGGCCTCCCAATCTGTCCCAAAGCCCTGGCTTCCCTCCGCGCCCTCGGACCGGCCCGCCACATTCCCTGAGCATGGGCCTGGCCGGCCGCCCCCAGTACCCGCCACAGAGCCTGGCATACAGTAGGCGCTCAAAAAATACTTGCAAATGAAGAAGTGAATCTCTCGCCTGGAAGGTAGCACCAGCTTCCCACCGACTCCCCCGCCTTTCATCTTTCCTTCTCATCAGCCACCTAAGGGCTTTCCAAACTGCTTATATTGAAAACGATCAGAGTCATTGCAAACGCCTGTGCAGGGCACCTACTAGCTGCTCACCTGTGGTACTCCCTCCCGCAGTCCCGTGAGGTCGGCGCTAGGATGACTGGTCCCACTCTACAGAGGAGGAAACTGAGGTGCTGGTTCAGATCAGATCACTTCTGTGGCTAGACCCCTGCATGGCTCCCCATGTCCCCAGGACCCGGTCCTGACTTCACAACATGGCCTACCTGCACTCGCATCCACACCGCAGGCCTACCCTCCTCCCCCGCCCCCACTCATGCCCCCTGCCTACCCCTTCACCCCCGGCCCCAGCCACACTGGCCACCTTTCACTGCCCCAGCCTGCCTTGCTGTTTCCTACCTCCAGGCCTTTGCAAAGGCTGTTCCCTTTGCCTGGACCTTTCCTCCTGCCAGCTTCACAGGGCCGGCTCCTGCTCATCCATCGCCTCTGCTTTGCTACCACGTCCCCCAGAGGCCTGGACGCCCCTCTCTGGGCTCCCTCTACCCGGGCCTCCCATCACAGCACCCATCCTTCTGGGCTGTAAGTGCCTGGCCATGTGCACAATCCCCGAGAGCAGAAACTGAGGGAATCACCATTGGTCCTCAGAGCCTAGCACAGGGCTGGGCACACAGGAGGGGCTTAAGAAATGTTTACTGAGGCTTCCATCTGGGGCTAGAGGTGGGGTCTTTACTGTTGCAGGACAAACCAAATAGGTCACTCACTATTTGCTGTCCAGGACCAAGCCCAGACCTGTGCTAATAAGGCTCCTGGGTCAATAAGAACAAGAGCAGCGGGCATCTACAAGGCACTCGTGACGTGCCAGGTGCAAGTGCTTTACGTTAGCTAATTCATTCAGTCCTTAGCAGTCCGTAGAGATGTGTTTTCATTGTCCCCACTTTACAGACGTGGAAACTGAGGCTAAGAGCAGTTAAGTCACTTGTCAAGGTCATACAGCTGGGAAGTGACAGAGTAGGATTTAACCCAGGGTGCAGAGTCCAAGTTCTTAGCCTGTAGCTGACAACAGCCTGGAGCACGAGTAACCATCACCCACCCACCCCGCAACCAGAGGCTGTTAGGGGTCCAGACCTGAGGCCTTGGACACTTCTGGGAGATACTGCTCAGCAGCACTGGCCTGTGCCCACAGCCAGGCACAGGGGAGGGGAGGAGGGAGGATGCAGGGAGGGTGGCCAAGGAGGGCCAGGATCCACCCCACCTTGGGGTGGGGAGGAGGCCGTTGGCCACTCTCTCCCTAAGACTGTGTCCCTGGAGAGGCCCTGCCCCCTAAGGAAAGGGAAGCCCCGGCCCCCTTCAGCAGAGTGAGTCACTGCACCAGGCCAGGCTGGGGACGAGGGACCGTGGGAATCAGGACGGTTCCTGCCAGAGGGGGAAGGGAGACCGCGGTGGCCTGAGGAATCCCACAGATCGCCTCACACCAAGGGCCTGGATGGACACACAGGCCTGGAAAGGTCCAAAGAAGGCCCCAGGGGCTGACCCAACCTCGGCCCTGCCGACAAGGTCTCCCCTCCATCAAGCAGGGGCTGACTCCCCATTCACCTCCTCCAGCCCTGAGACCCCTGGAAACAAAAGCTTGTGCCACAAAACACAGCCAGTGCTGGGATGTGGCTCTTGAGGGGGCGGGGAACGGTGGATGTCCCAACCACGGTGCTGGGCGGCCCCCGGCGGGTGGCAGAGCCGCTCCAGGGCCAGTGTGCCCTGCTCACCCACCGCGACCTCTACTTCAGGGCAGCTAGCCAGCCGGGTGGTGGGCAGTGCAGGGGCCCAGCTGCAGGCGAAGGAATCTGTGTTTTCTCAAAGCCCCAGTGTTGGGCACACCCACAGAGGATAATGAATTCATGAGCTTCTTGCCAGGGCCTGAGGATCATGCAGAAAGGATGGGGCAGGGCCATTGGGGATCTGGTCCCAAGGAGAGCTCTGTAATCCCCACGGGAAGGCTGAGTTCTGCATTTTGCTGAGGGAGAGATTGAGGCTTCCAAGGGGAGTGGCCAAGGCTGGGGTTGAAACAAACTCCCCAGACTCAGCCCGGGATGGAGAGTGTGGACAAGGCACAGAGACCTTCCTCCCAGGGCCCCCTGAAGAAGTCACCCCTTGCTGATGGGCTTCCTTAAGTGGAACCACACAAAATTCCCTCCTGCACCCCTGTGTCACATCCCCCCCAAGATCAACTCACACCCCAATCCCCCAACCTGGCACCCCTCACCCCTGCCCAACCCCAGACACCTGGGCCCTTTACCCACCCAGCTGCCTTTGGCCCTACACCTGGCTCTCATTCCCTCGTGAGCTCCATGGGCCTCCCCGGTGCTGCACAAGGTCCTGCTCAACTCCCTCCACTCTCCCGGCACCGGCACCTCCCCACCCCAGCCACCGAGACTCCTCCAACACACACATACACTCTGAGCTCCATGGCTGTTAAGGCAGCAAAGGCTTGGTGGCATTAAGATCACAGATGCTGAGGTCATTCAGCCTGGATTCAAATCCTATCTCTGCTAGTTCTTGGCTGTGTGATCTTAAGTAAGTTACTTAACCTCTCTGTGCCTCAGGTTCTTCATCTGTGAAATGAGGATGAGAACAGAGCCTACCTGAGAGGGCTGTTGTTAAAACCTAGAGTTACACCAATGTGATACGCTTAGGAAGCATTTCACAAGTGCTATTACCTTCCCCGCAGCCCCCATGTCTGGTACATGTCCCAGTTCAGTGACACACAAGTGTGGGGCACACATCTTGCTGCCAGCCCCTACACACATCTGCAGGGCCCTGGTGCATGCCTCCCTGCGCACCTGCCACACCTGCACACATATGTGCCAACTCCCAAAAGCAGTCCTGATGGGCTCACACAGCCAGCCTAGAACACACCTTTGGTCAGACGCTGCACTCACTTGCTCAGCCCGTTCTTTTGACCCTCACGTGCACACCTGGGATGTATATGAACCTCTGGCTCTCTTCAGCGCACATCTGTGTACCCATCCACAACCCAGACCCCTCATGAACACCTAGGTGTGAGTACCTGTAACCTAGCGCACACCTGGGCCATATTCACGCCGGTGCCCCCATTCCGCTGACATCTGTACCCTCGCGAGTATGCCTAAGATACCGAAAATGAACCTGTAGCCCAGAGTACACAGTCGGGTCCCCATGCACGCACATCTGGGCCCCCGCACGCTCACACCTGCGACCTGCTCAGTGCACAACCTGTCCAGTTACCCGCACACTCTTCCTCCGGCGCCCTGGGATGGTCCCCGGCACCCCCGCTACCTGGGCGTACCTGGATGTTGCGCTTGCGCTCGCAGGCCGGCCCGGTGCCCTGCACCACGCTGTCGAGCACGGCCACCACGTCGGGTGCGGGCTCCACGAAGCAGGCGGTGCGCGCTGCGCGGATTGCGGCTTGCACGTCGGCGAAGCGGAAGGCACAGAGCGCGGCGGGGGTCGTGCGTGACGCTGGGGCCCCCTGCGGCCGCTCGAAGACCGCAAAGAGCAGTTCGCCCGCGGGGAAGACGGACACCAGGCGGCTGTAGAGGTCGCCGCGGCCCGCGCCGCCCGCGCACTGCAAGCCAAGTTGGATGTAGGACTCAGTGAGCTTCTTGGCGTCGCCGCCTGCGCCGCGGGGCAGGCAGATGCGCGCCAGCAGGCTCTGCGCCTGGCTTTCCTTGTCACCCGCGCGCGCCTCGCTGTTGAGCGCCAGGTACGCGTAGGACTGGGCGCCTGGCTGCGGGTCCGGTGGGTGCAGGAAGGCGCGCACGAAGCCCAGCTTGTGCTGCTCCTTGGCGCCCTGCTTGATCTTGAGGATGTTGTCGTCGGAGGGGTTGAGGTCGAAGGTGAAGAGCTTGGCCAGGTCGCCGCGCGCATCCAGGGAGCGGATGGCGATCTCGGGCGTGTTCTCGAAGCGGTGGTCCTCCAGGCTGCGGTTGCGCGGGAAGAAGGCGC